TAATAATAATAATAATAATATACTGAAATTAAATTTTGAAAAAAGAAGCAGAAGGGATAGTGAAAAAACATTGTGAAAAATCTAAAATTTCTTGGAGATGATTGGCCTTTATACCCCCTGTAGTATAGGAAAGGAGACGTCCAGTGGTGGGGTTCGCACCACTTTGGCAGAACTGGTTGTTCACTTTCTGAGCAGTTTGGTGAACTGGTTGTTGGAAGACATCATTATGGCAGAGAACCGGTTGTTAAATTATTTGAATCTCACCCCTGGCGAAGTCCCCACAGCATGGAACTGAGAAGTTCTTTATAGAATAACAGAATTGGAAGGGACCTTGGAGGTCTTCTAGTCTAACCCTCTGGTTAGGCAGGAAACCTCTACACCACTTCAGACAAAAGGTTATCCAATCTCTTCTTAAAAACTTCCAGCGTTGGAGCATTCACAATTTCTGGAGAAAAGGTTGTTCCACTGATTAATTGTCCCCACTGTCAGGATATGTCCCCTTGCCACATTCCACCCAACAGCCGGTAAGATCCCACAGGGTGGGCCTCCTTCAGATGCCGTCAGCCAGACAATGTCGGCTGGCGGCTCCCCGGAGGAGAGCTTTCTCTGTGGTTGCTCCGACCCTTTGGAACGAACTACCCCCAGAAATCTGGACCTTACCCTCTCTCATGGCCTTCAGAAAAGCTGTCAAGACCTGGCTATTCCGGCAGGCCTAGGACTGTTGACCTCATTGTTGAGGTCCAGCCCCGACCATAACGAATGTATCTGTGTTGTTTTTAACTTGTCTATTTTTATTTTCTTTTATTGTTTTTTTTCCCCCCTTGCTGTAAGCCTCCCGGAGTCCTCTGGGATTGGGCGGCCTATAAATAAAATTAAACTCAAACTCAAGCTTAGTTGAAGGAGATTGTTTGGTTAGAGAAACATGGGGGCCGTGTCTTTCTCATTAATTCAATCAAGCAATCAGTCAATCAATTTCTATAGCCACCCGTCTCAGTCAATGACTCTGGCCACCCACATTTTGGTTATTTGCATTCTTTTAGAGTCATTGAGGCTATTTGGAGGTTTAGCTGTGGGGTAAATGGGTGAGGAGCCTTCCTGGAACTAGCAACAGCAATAGCAGTTAGACTTATATACCGCTTCATACGGCTTTCAGCCCTCTCTAAGCGGTTTACAGAGTCAGCATATCGCCCCCAACAATCCGGGTCCTCATTTTACCCACCTCAGAAGGACGGAAGGCTGAGTCAACCTTGAGCCGGTGAGATTTGAACCGCCGAACTGGAGCTAGCAGTCAGCTGAAGTGGCCTGCTAAGTACTGCACTCTACCCACTGCGCCACCTCGGCTGTTGAAAGAATGATAGGATTGTAGACTGGAGATAGATGAGGTTGTATCCCTCCCCCTCTGTTGAGAGAGGGCGAATGTGGCCTCAATGACTCTCCAAAAGGATGCAAATGACCAGCTGTGTGTGCAAGAAATATAAATCCTTCCATTTCCCCATCATCCACTCAGAGCTGAAGAAGCTTCTTGGGGATGAGAAGAGAAACGTCTTCAAAGAAAAACGAGAAAGTCCAGTTGCCTCTTGGGGGGGGGGGATGGAGAAGCAACTTTGGGACAACCTTGAACCTGGATGGCAGAGAACCTCCATGGACATTTACCTGAATCCTCGTTCAATGGCAGATGTAGACAAACTGCAATTATCTGCAAACTAACATAACACCAACTTGTAGTTTCAGGATCAGCGTCTGTGAAATATAGCGCGGGAATCATCGCTGCGGCTTTGCTTGGATCCCTTACCTGGACTACCAGCAGTCTCTCCCTCTTGCCGCTGCTGTTCGGTAAGTAGAACTACGGCCTGGAATGGGATGAGGGGTAGGAACACGGGGGAATCCAGAGGGAAATGAGAGAAGGATTTGTTGGAAGAAATGCCCATCTGGGTTCGGTTCCAAGTGGGGGAGAAAGACCCTGGAAATATGGAGGGTGCTTGGAAAGGACGGTTTAATGGTGAAGCAAAACCACCAAGTACTGTAATCTGTGATTCTGGGTAGATGACCACATGGGGTGGAAGAGTGAGATATATTTATACCCTCTCTTGGGCCTTGCCCTAGAGCAGTGATGGCAAACCTTTTTGGCACTTTGCTTCCTTCCTTCCCAAACCCTTCCTTCCTTCCCTGATCCTTCTTTCCTTCCTTTATTCCTGCTTTACTTCCTTACTTCCTTACCACACGGAGTGGAGGAGTGAGATATATTTATACCCTCTCTTGGGCCTTGCCCTAGAGCAGTGATGGCAAACCTTTTTGGCACTTTGCTTCCTTCCCTCCCAAACCCTTCCTTCCTTCCCTGATCCTTCTTTCCTTCCTTTCTTCCTGCTTTACTTCCTTACTTCCTTACCACACGGAGTGGAGGAGTGAGATATATTTATACCCTCTCTTGGGCCTTGCCCTAGAGCAGTGATGGCAAACCTAGAGCCAAGGTGGCGCAGTGGTTAGGGTGCAGTACTGCAGGCCACTTCAGCTGACTGTTATCTGCAGTTCAGCG